TATGGCGGTGGCTGGAGGAGTACTAGGAGATGGCAACTGAGAATCGGTACAAGAAATGAGCGGTTCTTGAAGGCCTGCCGAGTTCTGTTCAGAATCGTGTACTGGTAGGGCCGCTTCAGAGGATGACCTTCGAACGAGGTTGCGCTGAAGAAAAAGAATGAAAATAGGCTGGTCAGGCGGGCGAAAAGAGACTACATGGAGCCCAGCGGAGGGCAAAATCTGTCCGTGAAAAATTAGTCTGTCTACTGTTTGACTACATGTTAGGTTCAACTAAGCCGTATCTTTTTAAAAAAGGGATGTGGTTGATCCTTTTCTTTCGCCTTTAATTTAATCTTCTCATCGTCAAGCAAAGGATATTATGAATTTATCTTAAGCTGGTGATCCAAGTGACGGGAGCAAGAGAGCTTAGGGCTTGTGCATTGCAAGCCTGGACGGCGGTCTAGTTTTTCTTAACCCAATTCCAATATCCTGTCGTTGTGACTTTGATGTATCGCTGTCTGTCAGTGGATATTTTAAGTTTCGAACTATGCCTGCCTGCGCGGCCGCAGAAAGAAAATCAGACGAGCATTATGTGGAATACAACTGCCGCGTGCTTGTTGGCACTACTGTGGCTCAGCCCCAAACAGTTCGAAATTAAAGCATGATTAGATCGTTCGGGCCGATTCATCCGGATAAAGCACAGCAGATTACAGATGTAAAACGCTAGTAACCCAATAGAAAGTGTTATCAGTCGTCTTAGTTGTGTTATTCTGGCGTTAAACACGATTTCGCGGTTAACAACACCTTAAAATCTGCTTCAGTGTGACTGAAATCATTATGACCGTTTTTTGTTATAGAAGTGGAGTCATTTCTCAAAGCAGGGCTAAACAGAAAGCTAAAGGGCAGCTGGTCAATAATGCACGCGATCTGTAGAGATTCACATCAGGGAAAAACCTAAGAAGCCATAATACAACAGTTTCGTTTATGGACTACGGCAGTATTCAACGTCACTTACGAAAAAGTAAACTTTAACCTCTCCAGCTGGGAAATTAGATATAACGATTAGTACTGTAAGCCTTAGTGCTTTTCAAACGCCTAAGCACACATCTATCGGGGATTGATGAATAACTGGAATTAAACGCAAAAAAGATTACCTGTCTAAATGCGGGGATGACAGAACGACGTAGAATTGATGGATGGAATGGCTCTTCGAAAAGCTAAAACAAGATAAAAGAGTGAGCGCTTAGTGATTTTGTATAATAAGGAATATTACAATACGTTATTTAAAATGCGGCGGTAATACAACACAAGGAACGTGGTAAACACTGAAAGGCGGCGTCAAATAGCTTGATCCATTGCATGAAAATGGTTGGACTAGGAAGGGTATTTTTTACTACATAATGTGACTCATGGAACAGAAAATAAATATGAATAAAGTGCATTACCCAGTAGAATTTTCTGTCATTTATTTTATTGCTCAGCCAAGGGCGTAATTGCATTGCAACAGTGTAGTATAGAAGCAACGTAGCAACGGGTGCAAAGAACACAAAGAGTGGTTTGTCTGTCGGAAAAATATTTTCACCCGATCGGCTACAATCACTCCGCACGAGATAAGAGAGACCCAAGAGCCTGCAAAAAAATACAGAACTTTAGCGCTGAGCGACAAAAACAGGGTCAAGTTTTACGTAGGCAGGAAATCAAACAGGGGCACCCTGTGACTGAGGAATTAATAGGAACGGGTCGGTTGCAAATAAGTTGACCGGCAAGTCTTTTACTTTTTTTTGAAAACATGAACCAACATGTGTCCAGCAAAGACATTCAGGGCCATTGCAATCAAGCGAGAGAATTTCCATTACTACGTTCTTCTCCCGACTACTTACAAAAGCCAGCATCGCGTTGCCTTACGTTGATTTGACTTTGGTAGGCTGCATATTAATAGATGATATGTTAGCTAAAAAAATAAATGTATTAGGGCCATATTTCCTGCTCGTTCGAAACTGTTGGGGTAAGCAAAAACAGTATTGCGGGTGGACTCCTCAACACAAGACTAAGCACAGATACAGGTGTTTGATATGTAAACATGACGGATAGCAGAATATTCGCGGGTGTTCTTAAATAGGAAGGGTGCATAACAGGTACAATGAAAAATGAAAGACCGAACACATAAATCCAATTACCTGGTAATAAGGTCGGAATCATCAAGAATCTTTTGTGCACATGGAAACTGATAAAGAAAATATACACATAAGTGAACACCACTGTAAATCAGGATGGCGACGCGCAGATACATGAATTCCTGAGAATGAACTTTGTGACGAGAGGCCCAATAAGTGCACATCCCCAAAAACATCAAGAGGTAGAATAATGAAAGGACTGAGGGCACAATTATTCCGACTGCGCCCGTAAGAAAAACGGTTAGAAGGACATTGCATGTGTTCAAAGCCCACGCGTTCCAGACACGACGTCCATGAGAAAGGAGCGCATTGGTGTTGGGTAACCCAAAAGCTTTGTTGTCCCTTGACACTGCGGGCTTTTCTTCCGGTGTAACTTCAGCGACAGAATGTGCCGTAGTCCCCTCTTCAGGAGCTGTACTTTCGTCTTCATTTCCACTCGGCGTCAAACCCTTGTTTTCCTTCACCTTACAGGTCAGACAGTTGGAATTGGGCTTGCTTTGGTCCGTTCGG